TATTTCCCCGTCGATGATCCTTCTCCTCCCTCCATCCCCTTCATCTTCATCTCTACCCCCTTCGCACCCACTCTCGGCCAAACCCTGCCCTTCGCTATCAGCAGCAGCACGAGCGCCACGCGAAGCGGGAGGAGAAGAAGGAAGGGTAGGCGGAGCAGGTAGAGCAGCAGCAGCAGAAGCCAGCAAATGCGCGGAGGAACTCTGCAGCCCTACATACCCATCGCCGCCAGACTCATCTCTACTCCGCGATGGCAAATCCCCAAGAAGATTGTCTGGTAAGCAGACAGCCGGAGCTGCTGCTGCTGTCGCCTCTACGCCTCCCGCATTGTTCGTCCCGACTCGCTCACCCACCACCTCCGCCTTCCCCTCCCCCTCCCCCTCCCGCTTTTGTTCGCCTTTCTCCTCCTTCCCCTCCTTTCCCTGCTTTCGTTGTCTTCCCTTCTTACCCTCCTCCTGCCCTCCGCCGTCTTCCTGCTGCTGATGATGATGCTCAAACCCTCCTGCTCCCTCTCCTCTCTCCCCTCCTAATGGCGCTCCCGCCCGTGCATCAAGTCCCGCTTCTTGCTGATGACCAGCGACCGCAGTTTGCCCACACCCCCTCCCCGAGTCGGAAGCGGGACTCAGCTCTGCCACGTGGCAAGAACTCAACCGTCCGATACAAGGCAAGGACTCCAGTGCCTCCATTACCACACCCTTGTTACGTTCTCCACCCGCCCGTTCTCTTCTTCCACCTCCCTCTCCTTAGTATGCAGTCACAAGCCATCGATCAAACAAAACCAACCACCTCTCCCTCGGCGCAACCGTCCACTCCCCCCCCCCCTCCTCACACTCCGTCCGCCCCCAGAACCCCGCTTCTCTGCCTCTTTTCTCTTGCGCCGTCCCCTCTGCTTCGCACCGCAATTTCCGGCCCACGAAGTCACCACCCCGTGCGGCTTACCGTCTCCTCCTCACTCGTCCCCACCTCCTCCCCTCCTCCTCTCCCTTCGGATTGGTCCTGATCAAACGATCCCCCCGGTCCTGCGATTCCGTCCGTCCGCACGGGAACCACGAGCCGCCACGTGTTGCCACGCTGCTACGCGGGGAATGTGCGACAAAACCAGTCGCGCGCGCCCAATCCGCTTGTGAGCCCAACGAACGCCCCCAACACACGCCCCGCTCCGCCCCTCCCTTCTCAGCCGGTAGGTATCTTTCGAGAGCGCACGCGCGCGCGCGCGCGCGCACTTGAACACACTTTCGAAATCTCCACTTCCCTCCCTCCCCGCGCTTCCCTAGTTACAGCCCTCAACGCCCAACCCCGCCACGCTCAGCGCGAAGCTCGCACTGGCAAGCCTCTGTCCCAGAATCTCTCTCACCTCCTCGCTTGCTCAGACCACCTACCTCTCCCAGAAAGCTCTCACATTCCCCGCCCACAATCCAAACTGCGGCATACGCCTCCGCTCCAGAAACACGGGTGAGTCAACCCCCGCCCGCGCTTACGTGGACATTGAAATTCCCCGCTTTTGCCAACTTTTGCCAACTTTTCCCTCCCCCCGTCCCCGCCTTAACGACCAAGAACCCCCTCCTTTTCCGCCAATAACTCCTCCTTCCCCTACGTTCTTGGCTTTCCCTGATCTCCCCCTCCCTCTCCCAAACCCATCACAATCCACCAGCTTCTTTCGTCCCGCGCCAAAGCCAAGCAGCGTTCCTCAACGCCAAAGCAGGGGCTTACCAACTAAGCCGTGCGCGCAGCGGGCTGGCTTTTTTTGTGCTTTTTCTCCACTACAAACCACCAACCTACCCGGCTGCTTGTCGCACCGCATCCTCCCCTCTTCGCCCGAATAGAACGCACGGTCATTATGGCTGTAATTGGGGCAGCTTTCAGTCTAGATACGACGATAATTACTGTTGAGTTCTATTCGAGGTCAGACGGTAGAACCCCAGAGCTCCACTCCACGCGTAAGACGATGCCGCCTCAGGGCGTACTCACACACTGCCCCTATCTCGCGCGCAAGTTTTTTGGGTGGTTTGTTTGGGGACGGGAAAAGCGCGGGTCGAGCTGCAAGGGGATTCCTGAGTCCCCCCCATTGTTCTGGGGCAAAGGTACACGAACAGCCCTCTCAAGTAGCCCCGTCTGTGGCAAGATAAAAATGTAAATGTAATGTAAATGCCCCCGGGCATTCTGGTTGGCTCGTTTTGTCCTTTCGGAGATAAAACGGGCTACTTCTGGTCTTCGCCCTTGGTTCAATTTTCGTTTTGGCTGTTGTTGAGGGGGAGAGCAAGCCCCTAACCAGTACCCCGCCAAGCTATTGATACCAAGCCCAAATTCACCCGGCGGGTCAAAAACAAAAACAAAGCGACGACTGTTGTCACCAGCCATTTCCAGTCCAGTACTTGAACCCCAAAAAAATCCAGCCATAAACGAGCCGCGACTTTGTGTTTTCAAGCGGGGAAAAGCCTTGTTTCCAGAGCAACCAATTTTTGCTCAGTTGGTAACCACTAGGCTCTTCCCAGCCTAGGAACTAGGCTGGGCGCAGCTTCGGCCCGGGCGTATATTGGAAACGCTCCCGGCCACTGTGGTACCGGCTGAAACGGTGGCAGGGACCGCGTTCAAGAAACGGTATGCCACCGTTTCGATACCCATGGCCGATTCTTCAAATCAGACCGTTTCTGCCATCAACGCAAAAGTGAGGCACCTATCCCGTCCGGCAGTCCGCCAGCTCTCCTGCCAGCCAGCCAGCGGCCCAACCATCATGATGAGACTGCAGCCCCCCACCAACCAGTGAGCACCATCGGTATGTGTGTGTGTATGTGTGTGTTTGTGTGTGTGTGTGTGTGTGTGTGTGTGTGTGTGTGTGTGTGTGTGTGAGAGAGAGAGAGAGAGAGAGAGAGAGAGAGTCATGTTTTCTTTTCTTGCCAACATTGCTTTGCACGGAATGGAGAATGCTTTGAATGAGTGGGCTCTTTTCACCTTTCCCTCACGGTACTTGTACACTATCGGTCACTAAGAAATACTTAGGCTTAGAGGGTGGTCCCCCACAGAATTCAAACACGGCGCGCGTTTTACTTACTTCTTGAAATGAAAACCATTGGACAAAATATACAGGGCTATCACCTTCTCTGGCAAGACTTTCCAATCTTTTCTAATTTGCTTGGATGGTATTTAGAGCCTAATCCGCATTCGTCTATCTCCAATAATAAGTTCTCGTTGACCACGACCTATTGGAACAAGGCTATCCACCGCTTTTAATCCTGTTTGCATTGGTTCATGCACAGATTTACGTGAAATAATTCCCGGAGCTTTGACTTCTACACGTCTTCGCTTTACAACTCTATAAGCAACTTGTCAGAAATTGATCTTAGATTTCTGGCATTATATTACAGTGGACTCCTTCCTGAGCCTTTGAGAACGTGGTCGTCTCAGTGACTGTATGCACTTTGAGTTTATTCTTATGTTCGCATATGTATGTGATCGCAATTGAGTCTACATGTGGTCACAAAAGTTCCCTCCATCGGTGTGTGTGTGGTGTGTGTATGTATGCGTGTGTTTATGTGTGTGTGTGTGTGAGGGGGAGAGAGAGAGAAAGAAAGAGAGAGAGAGAGAGAGAGAGAGAGAGAGAGAGAGAGTCGTGTTTTTTTTTCTTGTCAGTGTTCATGTGGTCGTCTCAGTGACTATATGCACTTCGAGTTTGTTTTTATGTTCGCATATGTATGTGATCGCAATTGAGTCTACATGTGGTCACAAAAGCTCCCTCCAATTCATTACTGCTGACAGAGACAGAGACTACGCCTTTCTTCCGTGTTTTCTCTTTTTTTGCAATCATTTTTTTTGCAATCATTTTTTTTGCAATCATTTTTTTTGCAATCTACTTTTTTTTGTCGTGTCTATGTATGTGACAACAATTGCGTCTGGATGTTGTCAAAAACCCTCTGCCGTGTTGATTACTGCTAAGTAAAAATGAAAAAGAAAGAAAGAAAGAAAAACAACGAGAGAGAGAGAGTTTATTTCCTCTGGGTTGTTTGTTAAGGATTCCCGACCTCTCCTTTGGTGTGCACAATCAAACAAGTTGAGTCTTTTTGTAAAAAAAAGAAAAGAAAAGAAAAAACATTTTTTCTTTTTTTTTTCCTCCGTTTATTCCAATGTCTTATTGTCTTGTCGGTGCCTAAGTCTTTCGCCTCATTTTTTTGTGGTGAAGTATGTATGCGGTCACAAAAGTTGACCCCTATGGATTACCATCTTCTCCCGAACACAACTCGCCCCCATTTTGGTTACACATGACCGCAAATATAGCTTGTATATATTCATTATCAGGGTGCGTTGTTGAGCGCATCGGACATACAGGGGTGCGTTGTCAAGCACATCAAACTCACAGGGGGACCCTCCCGGTTGCGTCACACAGAATTTGGCATGACTTTTTCGCAAGAGTATTTGCCGCTTCGCCGAGTGCGTCAGCCGTACCTCTCGAGAGCCCCTACGACAGGATGAAGGTCACACGAAGCACAACCTACCTCTACCCAAAGGGTTGCTACCACCCTTAAGTAGGTGTATCCCCACTGAGCTATCAAATCACATGTGAAAGTTTCTCGAGTGCAATCGCAGAGGTGACTCAATCGAGCGTGTTTCTCATTTGCTATAGCATAGGAGGCTAAGTGTGGTCCTACGTCGATCAACTAGGACGATCAATCTAACCATGCGACATACTTCACAACATAAAACCAAGCTTTCATGCGTAAATCAGGCCTAGTCCCTTATTCACTTTCAACCTAGGCTACCAGTCGGGTCGCTCGGATCACCTTATTTTCTCAAGTGGCCCAACCGTGCAAGAATTAGGAAAGGTCCCCCCCACAAAAAATTTAAAAAAATCAAAAAAATCATTAAAAAAACTATGTTATGCAAAACAATAAACTGAACAACTTTTGCCCCAGCATCACATCAAAATTATTTATCTTTTTTTTTTTTTTTTTTTTTCTGGATGGGCAAGTGGACCCGGACCACTCTGGTAGCCTAGCTTTCGACCCATAACCTTTCGACGGTAGAGTAAGCGAGCGATGCGCACAAGGCTTAGTGAGGTGACGCCAACTTTATCATATCAACTAGTCATGCATGAATACACAAGCAGTCGCAATAACGACGTACTATGCAGTGTTCATAACCATGTGGTCCTCAATAATTTTGAGGGTCGCATTCGACAATTAAGTGTCAATTGACACGATTGACAATTGCGTATTGTGAGTCCTGCCCTCTTCTACACATTGTTGAGAGGAGCGGTAGGGGGGCTTCGTTCCTTTGTGGCGACCAAACGCCCTTGACCTATGGGATGAGACCCTATCTTCGGAGGCCTTGGAATAGGTCAATGACTTTTGAATTTGACGGTCGTCACGGACCTCAATGTCGAACTATGAAACTCAACATGCAAAATCAAAGGGGATCTTTTTTTTCCCGCACAAAAAAATTGCACACCTCTTGCACATGGTCAAAGCAGACCGTGCGAATACACATAATATAAATATAGCGAGATTATTAAATACGAGGTGATCACATTCACAATCACAGTATGACTTCCTTCTAAATATCCAAATATTAATCGCCGACAAGTCAAATCTTCACTCCAAATCATAAACATACATGCAATCACATAAAAATTTAACACTGATAGACCACACACTACATGGGGGCAACTTCAACCACTCTCTGCATGCACACCTCTTGTCTTATTCACACAATGCATAATATTGGTCAAATCATTCAAAAGAAAACACTTAGTCATGTTTTAAATGATTATTTAATAAAAGTTTAAGTAAAAAAATAAAATAAAAAAATTCAACCCACAGGGGATAAGGCCTTAGGTTGAGACGCGAGAATGAGTTGAAGCTGAGTATGAAACCGACAATCAGTAACCAACTTGTTATCAATGAC